GCTAGAGTACACTAGCGAGCATGCGCAATTGCAGAGCAATGACTCATCCTAGTTAGAGTGCTCAATTTGGACATGAAAGCAAAGCTTTGTATGCCAAAGAGCTATATCTAACTGCAGACAGTACTGTTTCGGCCTTCTGGGCCTCATCAGTGCAGTGCTAATGCTAGGATGGAGGAGAACCAATATGGTCACCCCAAACGATCCAACCTTTGTGGTATCGTCTAAGCCATGCCAGAGTGCTCAAACTAGAGTACACTAGCGAGCATGCGCAATTGCAGAGCAATGACTCATCCTAGTTAGAGTGCTCAATTTGGACATGAAAGCAAAGCTTTGTATGCCAAAGAGCTATATCTAACTGCAGACAGTACTGTTTCGGCCTTCTGGGCCTCATCAGTGCAGTGCTAATGCTAGGATGGAGGAGAACCAATATGGTCACCCCAAACGATCCAACCTTTGTGGTATCGTCTAAGCCATGCCAGAGTGCTCAAACTAGAGTACACTAGCGAGCATGCGCAATTGCAGAGCAATGACTCATCCTAGTTAGAGTGCTCAATTTGGACATGAAAGCAAAGCTTTGTATGCCAAAGAGAATGTTTGAAAAGAAAATTTGCCCTGAATTTTCTATTCAAACATTTATTCTACTTAAGTATGATTACTTGGAGTGTACAGGGTCAGGGTTTCCCTCGTATACCAAATATATATATATATATACCGGTTATAAATTAATGACTGGAAGATCGTTTCACCGTTACTCTGAGTTTCACGCAGCTGGCGCTGCGATCGTCAGATGGTTTTTATTACCAATGGAAAACATACCGTGCTATAAAGTCAATTTATAAATAGAAATTATAGTTAAAATAATAGGAAGCAATTAAGAAGACAAAAGGACTGTTGCTATTGGTTTCGCAAGTAGAACTTGTTTTTATGGCGGCACTTGGAAATGAGTTCTGATCGTTTGTTTAACTGTTTCAAAGTTTATTGTCTAACGTGAGGCATGGTTGCCCAATTGCCCGAGCCAGAGGCTCATGTATAAAGCGGCTCATGTATGGCTCATGTATGAAGCGAAGTTAATTTGCCCGCGGTGATTATGAGCCATGAAAACAAGTTCTACTTGCGAAACCAATAGCAACAGTCCTTTTGTCTTCCTATTATGATGAGTGTGGTCATATTTTAGACTCTACGAAACAGAGCTGCCGTAATAAAACGATGAACTACCTCTGAAGTCTTGAACCAGTTTGTTATAATTATCAATGCTCTAAGATTTGAGCGCTCTTTGAAATACATTCAAATCAAGTTCAAGAATATATTTATATATTATTGTTATTCTCTTCAAATCCTGAGACTGCATACCTACTTTTTAACCTTCAGTAAACCGATGGCGTGGGCAAACGTTCTATTCAGCGAGGAACTAGTTCACAATTGGAAAAGAGATATAATTAATATACAAATAAAATTACCTTTCTTGAACCCGCAGTCTTGACCATTTTTGAAAATGGACTGTTTGCGTTTTCATGATTCCACCCTCCCACAGCCAACAGGGTTCGGAGACCGGGATTTTTTTGCTTCAATGCGTTGAATCTGGGGTATAGTTTGTCATCGTTCCATTCGTACATGGCCAGTTTGTCATTGTTTCGATTGATCTTTGCAAAAGAGTAGACTAGATGAGTGCAAAGCTCAGGATCGATGGTCTCGGGCCAGAATTTTCCAGCACCTGGACGATACTGAGACCAGTTTGTGTGATAACAAACTCGTACATAGTTCTTAGCCCTCAAGCACGAGGCGAAAGCCACGAGTAGGAAAAGTACCAAAGCTCTCATGATTCTTTGTGAAGATTCCGAGGCACAGTGGCTAGTAACAATTCTGAGCGTATTTATAGGTGTATTTGCGTTGGCCTTCGAATCAGCGATGCCAACAAAATAGCTTTGTTTCTCGGTGCTCCACCAATTGCACGTTGGGAAAACTCAGTGTTTAGTCAGATATGGAACCCGGATTTGAACAGAAGAGTATGTTTTCTGTTGGGATGTTTGATGTTTACAACAGACTGACTATAGTCTGACACACGGGGTGTGCCGCAGTTTGTATAATCTGCGTTAAAATATTTCAGCTTTATTTGATCAAAAAAGAGAAGAAAAATTCATGAAAGACACATGTCAAGTTCAGAATTTAGGTAAAGTAACGTCTAACCTTAGATATCATATTCAAGAAGCTGGAGGCAAAGTTTTAAAAAAAGATAACAATTGCTGGTCCTCAACCTCAAAAGTAAACAATGACTGAACGCAAAAGTATAGTAGCACAGTGTATTTTTTTTTCAAGGCTGGATTCCATACCTACTCCTTACAGAGAGCTTGTGATTAGCGCCTTCATACCAAATTGAAAGACTCATAAATGGAAACCTCAAGCAAACTCCTGATATGAGATCGTTCCGTGAATAGCACACTTTAGCTCCCATTGCATAAATAAAATACATAGTTTGCTTTAGGTAAATTAGGCGTGACTGAGTTTTTAAGACAGTGGTGCTACAAATTCAAAGAGTAATTTCTAAACATTCCTTCTTCTAATTGAAGGTGAATTGAAGTGAAATTTCATACCCTGTGGACATGGTATTTTTAAAAGTAAGGAACAGATATCAAAGGAGGGGTTAAAATCTTTGTACATCACTGTACAGTTTTTTTTCGTCTCCCCTACACCAGTCGTCGAAAAAAAAAAAAAAAAACCTTTCGGAGTGAAGTTAGACAAAGGCGGTAGAGTTTCTAACATGTGAAGACACGAAGGGCTTGCACTGTAAGTATCCCGAAGAGCTTCATACAATTCCCTATAATTTTATAATAAGGAATTGTATGGAGCTTTTCTAGCGTTAGTCGTGGCGTGGCGGGTGTTGTCACGTATGATCCTTGCGAGGACCATACGTGACAACACCCGCCGCACTTCGACTAATGCTAAAAAGCTCCATATAATTCATTATAACTTTACTATAAGGAATTGTATGGAGCTCTCCGAGATACTTACAGTGCAAGCCCTGTGTGTCTTCTCGTGAATCGAAGACGTTCCCGCAGTCTTTAAAAACAATGGAAATAGCATTCTGAAAACCTTGTCAGCCCACGGCATTTTTTCTACCGTAAGATCTATGGATAAGTGTCATATCAGTATCTCAGGTGCTGCAAACAACGGCCTTGCAAGTGTAGAGGTGCAAAGAAAGCTGTGACAGATGCTATTCAAACAAAAAGACAGGTGTGAAGACATGCTTCCGCGCTTGTTTGTGTTGTGTTTAGAGGTGGATTGCCTTTATCAATCACCAAACAGAGGAGCTTTCCAAGAAGACACTAAGGCAGATGCAATACTCGAGTTTACTTGTTAGCCCTTAGATGAAACAATTCTTAATCTGCCTCAAATTTTCATTTGAATAATGTCGTACAATATACTTCAAAGCAGTTACCTATAGTCACCAGCAGATCGATTAACAATAAACTGAGAGCCTTTCTTTTGCTTTTAAAATACACTGTAAAATATTTATCAATTTAAAGAACAAATGGTATCTGAAAGAACCAGCTCGGAACTCTCGTTTGTCACCGAAGTAAATTCCGCAGTTATCAATTACAATGTTAATAATATATAATCAGGTGATTCTCTCCGTTCGCATTAAAGATATATAGGAAGACAAAATTGGAAACTGTCTGAGTGTCAGCTTAATATGGGATTCACCAACACAACTTCCACTGTAAGCTTCCATTGCGAGCATCCACTGTAAGCATCCGTTTGATAGACACCTTTGCTGAATGTAGGTTCGCTTTGCAGTAAAGATAAGAGGACAACATTGGAAATTCTCTCGGTGCTCTCTTAATATGGGATTCGCTAACACAGGTTTCACCATTAGCATACAGCTTATATCCGTATAGGAAAATACAATTTGAAAGGAAAAAAAAATAATAAACGTTGATTTAGTGTTTAAGTGAGGTTCCTTGACTACACAATAAAGTATTCCACAATTAAGAAATTGAAATGTGCAATTCTTTAATAATATTGTTTACATTCAAAAGGTTAGTACCATTAGATTTGTCGGCGTGGACGAAATAAATATTGCAAATCATAAGTTGGCCTCATAATATGTATATATAAAGGAACATAGAGTCTAAACATACATTGACAAAAGACTCATATCCCTATATAGGCAAAATCAATGTTTATTTATACCGGTATGATTAAAGATCATAATTTTTTCGGCAACATAAGTTTAATAAATCTACCACCATCGTCGAAAGGTGCAAAGGTGCTAGTATCCACTACGAACTTCCAGATGGAACGAGCATGATGCCTCATTCTCTTTGAGCTTCTTTGATATATCAACCGTTGCCACGAGCCTTTTTTCTTTCTATACCAGATAAAAAGAAAATTCAAGTACTTTATAAGATTTGTTCTTCTCTTTTGAAGACACAGAATATACCGAATACGCATATTTCTGCTTTCCCGGAAGGAATATTGGCGGATCAATCATAAGCATATTTTCTGTTTATAACCAGGACTGAAATCATCTTTCATCAATAAAATATCTTGTGAGCTATGATTTGAGTTACTGTTGCAACTCACAGCTTGATATCTTCGACACCAGACTCATTCTCCCTTTCCTTTTCCTCGTGAACCCTGTACGGCATCATGCCTTTCTTTATCATTACTCCAAAAGCCGTCAGCGGCGACTTTTGAACGAAGAGTTCCGATCGCCTGTGCTCCTTAAGCGATGGGTTGTTATGCAGCGTAAGAAGCAGCTGCCAACGATTGCGAACAGTTTGGTTCATTCTCTTGCTCGAGCTGTCACCAAGCTCGATACTAACTTGGTTGTCTGTGGACAAAAATGTAAGAATACGTCAGTTTTTTGGTCGGTTGACTACCGACTCACAGCAGCTTAAAGGAAACGAGGATCAACGATAGGAACAGAAAATAGCAAGAAGCAAACTGACCATGAATTGGATTTTAATAAAATTGATACAACCAGTGTAGAGCTGTCTACTGATAAGAAACAAGAAAAGGCAAGAACTTCAAAAAGATTCAAAGTGAATTATGCAAGACATTGACAACTTAGGAAATGTAACAATCAACGCTTTTCGTGATTTAAAGGATCTGATTTCAGTAAAGAAACAACGAACGAGGAAAGTAAAGAGCTGTTATGATGTATTTGGATGACAATTTGGGAGGTTGTCAGGACATACTAATGAATAATCAGACAGGCAGTTAGATTTTCCCGCCCAATATGCGCTACCAAAGAAGTATAGAGAAAAGAGAGAGAGACAGAGGGAGGGCTGAAAGAAAGAAAGAGGAGGACTAGGGAAGAGAGTGATTGGATGTAAGAACATAAGTCGTGAAACTTTACAATTCAGAAGTCATTTCCGCGAATGATCGAGGATGTCCGTGAATGAGCGAATGATGATCGCATCAAGAACAGAAACAGTACTCCTCTATCAGAGGCTTATAATTTGCGTTGTGGAGACATTTTGTGCAACAAACAGAACAAACGTAATGCCCCTTGTTTGCCTATAAGAGTGATGCAAGTGAATAGTAGTGTTGTTTGGCACTTAAATGAGAAAACAGACTTACTTGAGGATGAAGAATGAAAAGCATGGTTTGTTTTAGCAGAGTCCTCTGACATTTCTAAAGCTGCTCTGTCGTTAAGCGTCTTGGTTAGCAGTCGACAAAATGTAACCAGCACTGGATTAGCATGAGAGTGTTCCAAAAGAAGATATCCAACGTACGCATTAAACCCTGCCAAGAAATACGCACGCAAGTTGTCAATGATTCTCAGTTCCATAGATTAAAACCCTTCCAAAGCAGACTACATACAATGCGGTCGCATTTCACTAGCACAGGTGCCTTTATTTTCGCCTGGTAAAGTTACTTGCACTAAAGTACACAAAACTTATCATACTGACTATTTGTTGTCTCTCAAACAGGGGAGAATTGGTAATCACGGTCTCTTTAGACCTGGCCCTTTTAGGTAGATATGTTGATACTTAATGACCGCTTGGTAAAGGTTACGTATACTTTACTTAAGTACTCAAAACTTTTTTCAAGCAGACAACATGATAAGAGGTATTATTCATTAAATATTATCATTTCAACCTAAAAGGGCCCATCGGTCAGAATGCTTTTGCCTTTCGCGATGTGTCATCGCCAGAAATCGGACATTTTGCTCCCAAATTCATTGGTCAGCGGATTGCAGTCGGATGAAAACAAAGATGGCGGTCAAGACAACTTCTATATAAAATATTGAACGATTTAAGTTTTGTGGACCTTCTTTATGGAGAAAAAGCAAAATAAAAACAACTCTGAACTGATCTCTTGGTATTTTTAAGGCAGAGTGACTTATAGCAATTTGCTGTCTGATGTTATACAAGGGACACTCTGTACTAAGCTTCAATGTCCACTCAAACTGGCTTTTTTTGTAATCGTCTCAGATGTCAGACATTTTGGAAATTGTAGCTTAAACCACTTGCATTAAATAATGGGAAGATCTAGGCAAATCGTACTTGAAAAGGGCTTTTCCTCCCTGTTGAAAACACAGTTCAACGAACATACTAACACAGATCTCTCTGATCTGCTTCTTAATTTTCGCGCGAGAAAGTTTTTATTCAAGGCTCTACTTTAGTATGAGGGGGTCTGGATTCAGTTTATTTTCCATCAAACATTGCTGAATTAGAAATACAAATATGGCGACAGTTTGAAGGTTTCACGGAGGGTTTTTCTTTTAACACTTTCCTTTCTGGTGCGTCCTCAACGATGGTCTCAGATCACAGACTCCACAGAGCAAAAAAATAGCAATTTTCAAGCTCTTTTAGAAGTATCACATTGTCAAGAAATGTCTCTTTTTGTGGACGATTTGCTTACTTCAAACTTCCCTTTATTTAGTGCGAGTCGGAGCTAGTTGACTCCCTGGAGGGTTGCTCCTCAAATCGGCGATCCTTTGCCATGGATTACGCTATATTTGAAACAGACTAGAGGTAATGGCTAGCCTCGAATATCGAACATTGCTGACTTTGCTGGAAGTAAGTAGACAAACAGCTTTTGAATTATTTTTATGTTAGAAGTACAGCTTAATCTCTACTCAACATGTTTAGAGTCGGAGCTAAGAATAATCTCACTCGTATTTGTGGTATTTTGGATTTTTGTGGAAATCCCATACATTTCCTTACACGATTTCGCCGCCATTAACTTCTCAATACGCACGTGCGTCCGGCATTTTGACCCAAATTTCTGGCAACGACTCTCAGCGCTGAATTTTTCCACAACGCGGGGCATAATAATCTGCATATCCAGAACTAGTCCGCTGTAATTGTTTTTTTTTTACAATTTGGTCAAAATTCGTGTGCAGCAAAATTTTTATCTGACTTGTCGGATTTCGGATGGTCAAAACGCTATCTGACTTCTTAACCCATTGGAACACGCAGATTTTCAAGTGACACTAATCAGAATTTTCGGTTATCGATCTTTATAGAACGATCGGGTTCGCTATCTTCGCTTATCGAACACAATCAAACCAAAAGATTGGTGTATATTTGTGAACAAAACATTAGCTAGTATAGTGTAATGTACGAAAATGTTCGGTGAGTCTTCGGTTAATTCAGGTCTCAAGTGAATTAGATGACTTCACTTGACGCGGTAGTATTCGGTTAAGCATCAAATAATGTCTTTGATCATCTGAATTTTCAATTTTGTTGCCTGACGTTTGATATTAACATAATTACTTTTCAATCATACCTGGATCCTTCAGTTCCCAATCACGTGATATAACACTCTTTTGTGTTCGTGCAAGAAACACGACCCCAAGAAGAGCGCCAATCAAAATGCGCTTGAGACATGATACAACTCCAAGAAAAATATTGAAGAAAAATAAAAAATAGGTGCAGATATGGAATAGGCGCCTATGTGAAAGAAACACACGGTTAATTTACATCTACATCACTCGCTGAGCATCTTCTAATAAATCCCCACTTTCCTTTTCGTAACCATTTTAAAAATTCTCATAAAGCAAACCGTCGTAACATTTTCCTTTTTCATCAATCTTGCTTCTTAGTGGCTCATATTTATCCTTATAATCCTACCTTTCCTTTGTGAAAGGGCAACTTTGTACTTCATAAAATGGCAATTCATGACGCGAATAATATACGGATTCCAAGGAAATTCAATGCCCATGTTTTCAGTACAAGGAAACTGGTTTTACCTGTTATCCAGGGCCAGTGTTCTATCCTTATCCACTAAAAAGGCGTATTTGGCCATCAACAACTGGAAGAAGAAGAACACCAAGGAAATCAAGACGGCGGGCCTGAAACATAAAATTCAAACAAATTAATCAAAAGATATACATTTTGCTTTTTGAGTAAAAAATGTCTATACGTATATACCATGAAAGTAAACTGCATTTGTTTTCCCACTATCTAAGAAAAAATCGACATGTTTTCCAATATGACTTGCTACCTAAATGTCTACATCTCAAAAAGCACATTTTTAAAAGAATACGCCATAAATCGAGCAGAAAAAAGTAGGTTCGGTTGCTAACAGTACGGACCAAGAAAAGGAGGTACCTAAGGTATTTATTATACCTCTGAGTTCAAATAGAGGAGGGTGTCAGTTTAACAAACATTTGAATTAAGCGGATCTTACAATGAAATAGGGCCGTTTAATTGACGCACAAACACAACCAACTGATAGATATAATAACAACCAATAAGCATGGGTTCTTCATTTTTCCCGATCTTCACATAAAAATAAATCAACAATCAATGGATAAAAATACACAACTAAATATATAAATAAATAAAGCAATAAAATCAAATGCAAACGAATTTTGTTTTATTCCATCGCCCACTCCCCATTGTTTTGACTGCGTGAGATAATTACATAGCTTACCAGAGATTAAGGAGCTTCAACCAGAGAAAAGAGTCGAAGTTTCCGCGCACCGTGGGCATGATGAGCTGTTGTCCAATGACGAAAACGATAAGGGCCACAGTTATCGTCGTGATCGTCACACCTTGAGAAGGAAACGAGACGAAAACTCGAGTTTCCCACACTATGCAATCATCAAGGTAAAGCTTTTTTTTTTGGTGTTGTTTTCCTTGTTGTTCTCGTTTCTTTTTTTTTTTTGTTCGAGCAGAATATAAGAATAAACAATGAGAGTGACGGCTGTAATCGCATTTCAGCGGTTGGTCGCCAAGAACATGTTCACATGGTGACAAGGGCTGACCAGTTCAGATTTTTGCACAGTAAGGTCACACTCCGGGCACTAAAGAGGCATGCTTCTCCGATGCATACGTAATGCTTCGAAATATCTAGTTATCTCTCTTAGTGAGATATTCCTAAGCAAACAATACTGAAAATATACTGACAGAAGTTTAGTTTTCGATAAAAGGATGCCTACCCCAACACAAATAAGCCACCTGGAAGCCTGCGTATTTCAATGTTGAAACCTAAAATCAGAACAACGACAAAGAAAGTAAGTACAGTTTTATAACTTTGTTTTAAAGACTGAATTTGGAGCAAAAAGCGACGACCTACATTCATTTGTCACGTAGCAATCGGTTACGTTTTTAACAAGGGTTTCAAAATATCATGATAATCAACACTGATTTTCTCTTCGCATCTCTTTTGATTTTTTCTCTCCCTTAAGAAGTCACACAACCTTCAAGAACGACGGCCAGTTATGTTGCTTAAGTCAAAGGAAATAATATTAAAAAAATAATAACAATAATACGAATGTTCAAGTACAAGTGCTTCGTTATGATAATTCATGGATGAATGCGCAGTGTTATTTTCTATTTTTCATTTCGGTAGTGTAAATGAGAAAAAACGCGAATGGCAGAACGAGATTAGACAAGATCGTTACAACAAATTACTATACTTTACCGTGATGGCAGAGGGGTTTTTGTTAAAGAATTGTGCTGGAAGAAAATCTTTTTCCCCACGTTGAAGACGTAATAAATGCCCTCTGAGAAAAAAAAAAACAACAACACATTTTGCACAACATGACGAGAGACTAAACTAGTGATTGTGTTAGTTGTAACTTACGATACTTCTGCTGTCGTCATTCACATCTCGTTCAAGGAATTGAAATGCACGTGAAATGTCTACATAGTAATCGCACACCGAGACACTCATAAAACGGCAATATAGGTCAGAGTTGGAGAAGAAGAGAGTACATCTGTAGCCCTCGAACAATTCCAGCCTTTGAGTATGCAAAGTACGCAAGAAAAATTTTTGAGTTCATGCGCAAATTGACATCTTTACAACAACACCAATAACGTTTGGCCTTAAGGGTAAGAACAACAAACTGAACAGTGTTTCACCTGTACCATGACAGCATGTTTGCCGCTAGTATTATACTGTGAATTCCAGCTACTCCAGCAGCCACAAAAATGGACACTAACAATTGAGAAAAAAAAATCCTCATCAGAAAGAGAGAAAAATTGACGTAAAAGCGGCGGAGAAATTGATTCTCATCGCTCGCGATGATAAAAAACAAGTGACTATAATCAGGGAGAGAGATGATATCATTAGAGATACAGGAGGCCAAACTTGCAAAGGTGTCAGAGTGAAACAGCTCTACCAGTGCCTTAATATCGTTTTACGTTTCTTACACTTTGAAACTGTGAGAAGAAACATGTAGAAAAGTGGTTAATCCTGCATAGCAACTGATAGCCAAATGCTGGGGCAAAGAGAAGCGCATTATTATTTACCGGCATTCACCATCGTTTTGGCCTTTAGCAGAAGATCACTACACCCACCTACTCCAATCATAAGCCATTCTCTGACTGTATCAACGGTAGCCACATAACCGTCGACAATCACGTCCCGTAACTGAAGAAGTTGCATTGCAGACCAACAGTCTATAAGAAGTATCTGAATAAGGAGACAAGTTATGGAAACGGGCCTGAAATTTAAAATCTAAGCGCACATGTTACGAAAATTACTCAACATTTTTGTGAAATTTTTCTTTCAGGTCGCCATCAACGCAGAGTAAATCCCTACAACCGAAATATACCTTTACTTTTGCCCCTGTACATCAGCATCCCTCCCCTCTCTTCTTCCCTTGTAACCGTCGCTCACCCCCACGCCCCTCTTGGTACAAATTTCTTTCTCTCCCAGTCTTCCGCTGCTTTAAAAATCAAAGATGGCTGTTATAATTCTCGCCAGGAAAATACTTAGACTACGAGCGGTCCCTTCTTGTCGGCGAAGTCCGTCGCGCGAGTATCAAAAATCAGTGAAACAAAAACAAAATTGATGTTAGCGTGCCGTTTGGAGCCCTGGGTGCGAGGTGCACGAAAAGTAGGGACCACAGAAAGATCCAGAGAGTTTGACTACTGCGTTGTGCTAACAACGCGACAATATGGTTGGCAATGGCCGGAAATCTGTTAACAAGCAGTGACGCAGGTCAACGCAAGTCAGCACTCGAAGTTAATTAAGGCTGATGAGTTGCAGGAATGGCGCAGGAGGAATGCTTGTGGTCCAGAAAATACAAAGCATAAATCACGCAATGCTCCGCATTCAATAAAGTACATTACGAGAAAATTAGGACGTGTTACAAAATAGCAAAACAGTGTTTGAGCCTTAGTACAGACACCAAGACAGCATGAATTGATCTTATTCTCGTCGTCTTTACCCAGCAATTACAAGGAAATATTCGAATTGAGGTTAAATAAAAAGGGAAAAAGTTACTTCTTTTTTCCACATGTTTTCCTCCATAAACTTACCATATATATCCCGATAAAGCCGACCACGTATATGCAAACGACTCGCGTCGAGTACTTGAAATCTAAAAAAAAAAGAGAATAAAATATTTCAAAAATTCAAGAAGCAACAAAAAAAATAAGTTAAGCTATGAGCGGGTTCAAAACTGCGTTGCAGCGATGAGAGCCTGCTCGTTGGCCTGGGTTTGTTGTTGTTTTTCTTGTCGTAATTGTTGTTGTTTCCGTAAGGTTGGTTATATGCATACCTGGTCTCCACTTGTAAAGCTTTCTTTTCAGCTTTCCTTTTAAAGAAGTTTCCCCGCTTTTGTCTCTGAATCTGAAATTAAAAAAAAAAAAAAAAAAAAAAAAACTCTTCAGCGCTTTAGGTTGGCTCGAGTTAGATAAATTATTTGAGGTTCAAAATATCCCCGCTTTTAACCCTATGATCTGAAATAAAGAAAAAAAAACACCTTAAGTGCTTTAGGTGGGCTCGAGTTAGACAAACTATCTTAATAATAACCTCTAATTTCAGTTCATATCAGGTAAGCTCTACCTTGCTTTCGCCTGCACTTCCACCATAACCCTCGATATTTACTTCGTGGAACTCTAAGTATTCAAGCTACCCTCAAAACTCATTTTTGAACGTGACGTGCTCCAGCGAAAGGAGTGTTAACACTAAAGAATAATTCCACTTACTCCTTTGGTACTGGCTCTAAAAGTTTGACGACGTATTTGTATTTGTAAAACGTCATCCACTCATTTTCGTCGTCCTAAAAAATGAATACAAAAAGAATTAGACAAAAAAAATAACAAAAACGAAAACGAAAAAAAAAAAAAAAACACCAACAAACAATTATCTAAAAAAAAAGACATGCCAGGTTTTCTTACTTGTTTCCTTTTTGCTGTTGCTTTTTTATGCATATATATGTGTTGGTGTTCGTGTGTGCTTGCGTGTACGCACACGCCAAAATATACGTGTACGTGTGCGTTTGTGTAATTTGTATCAGGTGCTCATAAAGCTGATGTATCTTTTTACTTTTTCAGAAGCATCCGGACGGCATCTCCTATATATTCCTCTAACCAATAACACTAAGTACTTCACCGAAAGGTAGATCAAACACAAAAACGTGGGTAGCTCAACAGCAAATAAAAGTCCAGCAAACTCCTAAAGGACAACAAAGGAAATACTACTGTCAGAGAATAATATCACCCTGAGCTGAGCAAGATTTCTCTAACAAATGTCATAAAAAAGGAGGAAAAAACTTTTCTATTGTAAATATAGCTTAGGAAATAAAAGGCGAATAAGCAGAAGTATTCGACACGCGCAAAAGTGCCAAAAATATAAAGAGAATGGTTTTCGATCAGTGGAGCGTCGAAAGAGAATGCAATAAAAATTGAATAAAAGTTATTGGGCTTAATGCAGTTGGGTTATTTGTCATTAATTTTTCAATGGCTCATTGTGAAATTTCTTTGCTCAGATTTGTCGTTTTAGTTGTGCGACACTCAACCGAAAACCGCCCTTTCCGCCTGTCAAGGTTTACATACCGGACACTGAATGGGCTTCAACAATACAAAGATAATCCTGAAAAATAAAAAGATAAAATAAAAAAAAAAAACAAAGTAAGTACTGATCATCTTGGCACACTCTGGAAAAAGGTTACCAAAACTTCCCCTTTGAAACATTTGAAGACTGTTAGTTGAAGTTTGGTCGACGATGAGAAGCAAGGTTACTTCTTATTTACTGGAACCTCAACTAATCCTTAGGAGACGGTTCCTGCGAATAATTGCACCAATGTTCCCTTCAACACATTTGCACGTCAATACATTTACTGCGTACTTGGCTACGAATTAAGGCCATAATATCATTTCGACATCACTTAAAACTGAGACGACTTTGAATAGCGAGCGTTTCTAAGTTACAAGGTGCAATCAGGTTAAAGGAAAGCTGAGGCCTAACGCTTTACACCCTATATTGAGCATGCGTATTCTCCATACTGTTCTCTGTGCATTTCCTGAGGAGCTCAAGAGCTTGTTTAGTCGGTCATCATTTCTGTTATTCTTGTGACGCTGATATGTGATTTAGACTGACGTTGTAAGGAGGTCAAAAAATTAGGGTAAATACAGAAAGCTTACCACATAGTGGAGTATAGGAAACCGAAGACGTAGCCAGTAATCTTCCATTTAGAGGACATACAGGCAAATAGAGGGTAATAAGCGATACCAATAACCAACATGGCCATTATCTTCCATACAACTGCGGGAAATTATCGTAGAGAAAACAAATTTACAACGAAAAATTAATCAGAACAGATATATACGGAGGAACATTAGATAGAACAAGCACCCAGGTAAACACGACTGAAATCAGTCTGAATGTATCATTTAAGGCATTTGATAATTTCTCTAAAATAAAACTCGCTATGAACAGTTTAAATTAGTCAAATAGGTAGCCTTGGGTTTAAAGGTCGCACGGCGCAGGTAAAACACAAAAGGAAACCAAATTATTTGAGGATGAAATGACAAACCAAAAAGTAACCACAAACTGGCTGCCACTTTCTTTCTCCTCTTTTCTTTAGCTGTTTAATTATTTTTGCTAAATCACTAAAAACAAAACAAAACGAAAAAAAAAAAATAGAGATCATCGCAGCTACAGCCAGAACTAGAGTTGTAGTAAAAGAAAGGCTCATAAAAATTTAGGGTTACAACCCATGATTACCTTCTGATATCAGCGCAGCACGGCTCTAAATAACTAACTTAGCTTTCAAGCTAACTGGAAACTAGTAGCTACTTGAGTCGTACGCGTAGAGGATAAAACCCTACTTAATTGAATGGATGAAATCCATACATTTGAATAGGATTCATTTGTATAAGTATTCGCATGGGGCCGAGTAAAATTAAGGATTAATATCACGCGCGTTTTCAGAAGTTGCTGAAATTGCCCGAGTCGCGCAGCGACGAGGGAATTTTCTGCAACTTCCGAAAACACAAGTGATATTAATCCTTAATTTTACGAGAAATCATGTTATTACTTGTTTATAATATAAGGGGGCAAAATGTTTTCTTGCTGATCTCGCGCAAAACGGGACGCCATTGTTACAAAACAAACAGAAATTTCTTTACCTTGGCAGCCGTTGCTAAGCGATTTTCAGCCAATCATTTTCAAGTAATTTTGCCCGGGGCAATTACAAAAATTAAGAAAAAATACCCTCTGTCTTGAACAATCACAATTCAGTAATTTTTCCCCTTATATGATTACATTTGTTACTTAACAATTTTTCCTAACATACTTCTGCAGTTTTAGTGCGTTCGATTTAGAGTTCTTTTTTCGCTCAAGCATAAAAAGCGCAATTTTCCAGAGTTGCTTACTTGACGTGTACGAGGGCATTTTTTCAAAGGCTGCGATTGCTCCCCTGGGGAATATCTCAGTATAGTCCCCATAAAACAGGATGTCCAAGCATTTCGATGTCGTAGCACCGAACGCACAAGCAAATCCAAGTCTATTTTCGTAACTGTCCACCAAGTTCACCGGACTAAAAAAGACAAAAAGAAACCGTTTTAAGGTCAGCATCACTCTGGTAAAATGACCAGTTCATACAGTCGAACCTCCACTAATAGTCAACTCCTAACAAAAGCCTCTAAAGTTCGTTAAACGAACAAAATAGTTGCTCGATATTGGCTACGTCACAACGAATTGATAGACCTTGGGGATCATCATTATCACTATCTGAGCAAGTGCGCACCTACCCCTCCCTAACCCAAAAACTGTCAACTGATAACAGGTTAGTGTCAGTCTTATTTTAGGGGAGGGGTGGGTACATAGTTACTCGGACACTTGACGTTGATCCGAACTTGTTCAAGTGATTAAAACAAAACCAAAATCGTACACAAAACCATGAAACAGACCTACCCCTATCTACTGATAACGCATAACTCTCCGCGGAAGCTACTCTCGTATGTCTGAGAGAGGAATCTTAGAGAGCGTTTTGGCAGTATTTTGTGACTGGTATGACGCGAAGTTTCGTCTCGGGTAAGAGATTCATCAGTTACTTTTAGTAAATTTCGAGCAAACTCGTCCAGCATCACGCTCAAAGTCCCGTTCGCGAAGAACGCGAACCTCTTTCCGAACGGGACTTTAAGCGCAATGCTCGACGAGTTTACTGCAAATTTACAACGAGTCTCTTGGCCGAGACGAAACGCCACGTCCTACCAGCCTCGAATTTCTTTCAAAAGTACTTAATAATATATTTGCTATATAATTATTAGTATTATTAGCTCTTATCTTTTTTTGTTTGTTGTTAGTTTTCAAGACACAGCAAGTGCTATTAGTATTGTAAGTAATGTGTTCTAAGAACGGAATATTGTATCGTAGGCACTTAAATCATAAGCATCGGTCATATGAAGCGGTGCGTGTTATATTAAGTACCCAGGTATATTGACGCAAATACTCTCTGTAAGCAGTGTTAAGTTTCCTCCGCTCATAGTGCCAGGTAAGTAGGGTACAATATTATAAAAAGTGCAGTCTATTCTAAGTAGCGCATAACTGCATTGTTATTAGCTAGTATGCTGCAAATATATACATTTTATGTCCATTCAATAACAAGTTCACTCATGTAGACTTGTTATTGAATGGACATAAAATGTAAAGTAAAACAAAAAACCAAAAGGTAACTTATAAGAAAAAAACATATCTACTTACATGCACAACCCTGGACGACCAATAGTTTTGCCCCCGCACATTTTTAACTTCCTTTTGCGTGTGTTAAGGAATGACAGAACTATTAAGATAAATAGCTATAAAAGAAAATAAAAATAACTTTAAAAAAATTCACTTAAACTTGAAAACCTGTATTGTTCTTCTTTGTTTTTACTTCGATGTACTCGATTATTTTATCATAACAGCACAATAAGGCTGACGAAATAGGCGTCTGCTTTCCCATCTTATATTACAAAAGAACCTCAAATAAACTGAGCAGCAGTTTAAATCGTTCACAGTAATCTTATGCAGCAACGCACTACTTTGGACTATTTAGCAGCCTTTGTCAGGACTTCCTATTAACACAACTTTGACTTTATTGTTCTATTCTGTTCTATTCTAACCATTTTCACTGCATTACCGCAGTAGGGTAGGACTAGAACGGAACGTATGCGAACCATGCGAGTAGTCCACCCAATAAATCCCACCCATCCCACCCCAGGGGAGGGCATCCATCACACAGTAATCTCGTGCGTGGGAAATTAACGTCTCCTACCCCTAACCCTGTAGGAGACGGGACCTCCCTTTATTCGTCCCTATCCGAGAAGACTAGAATATCTAACCATTTCTTGATGTTATAGAAAAGTAGCATATTCTTCTCAATCATTTTAAGACTTTGAGTGTTGGTCCGGCCGGAG